CTAAGCCCGAGAAAACCGCGATTCTAACCTCGCTTTGCTCGGTTAGATCGCGGTTTTCGGGCCCAGCGACGAAAAATATTGTATGTCACACGGCGATAAAAGTATTATCTGACGAATGTGATTATAANATATACTATTACAGAGTGAAGAAAGAATTCTGATGGCTAACCGCTAATGACAAATATGTAAGAGAACTAAAATTCGGGAACAAATCTACAATGATAACACCAACAATAATGATAATAGAAACGGAGCGAGAAATCACCGAAATAGACATAACTTCAGACCTCCTTAACTTAATATAGTTCTTATAATACTGGAAAATGAACTAAAAAAATGTTTATGCCACTCATGCCTGAAACCGGCTGGATTACACACTCGNGGTAGAGCCAGATGTGGTGATATTAAACCGCAATATTTTGTTCATTATGATAAAATTGGCTCATTCCAGGATCATTGGAATAGGCCAATATTCTATCATATCAACAGGCATAGAAATAATAAAATTATTCCCATTGATGATTGTGAGAATGCAACGTTCAAATATTCTAGAGAAATATCAGAAGTCGATAAAAATGATTTTTTCGTCATTCAGGCCCGTTAGGTAGCGCCTACTATAGCTGTCTTGAGGGAAGCTAAATGGCGTTTAACAGACCAGGTCTGTTAAACGAAGCACAAGTATGGTTAACTCGAGTTAGCAGCCCTAGGACAATAAAAACATACAGTTTCTAGATGGGCAACCCACAAAACCTTCGTAGGAATACAACATGAAGTGTGCGGTTATCGCTGTCACTTGCTTGAAAACTCGGCGGATCGTTCACCACTAATACGATGCGCCACCGTCATTGCCGATGACATCAGGAGTTGTTATTCCGTTGCTAGGGAGTCAGTCGTAACTTGAGGGTTATATTGTCAAAATATTAGTTTAATAAAGAGATTATATTCACTTTCTCGTTATATATCTATTTTGAATAGATTATATATATATTTCTATTAAAATGTGATGAAAAATTTGAGTATGTTGTGAGAAGAAGAGGAACGATGAAAAAGAAAAGTTGTAAACTGTAGATGTTCACACGTTGATTTTCTCATGAGAATAAATTTAGAAAAATGATTAATCCTTCTTTTTATTCTTTCAATTTGTTGCAATTTTCATTTCAGGAGGAGGAAGATTTCCATTCTCATCTAGATGTTTTTTGAATGTTTTTGACAGACTCCGTGAATTACAACTTTTGCATTCGTTCTTTCGAATCTCAATTTAGGATTTTGCATCTCTTTTTCTTCAATATTTTCTCTTCACTTGTCATTTCGTTTTTCTACAGTGGGGGGGGCCTTCGCCCCCCGCCCCCCCCCCCACCGGGGCCTGCGGCCCCTGGACCCTGCTTCTGCGCCCCCTCCCCTTCCCCTCCCCCTCACCTTCAATGGGCCTTCATGACAAAAAATAGTATGTGTCATACGGACCGTGACGTCAGTTTGCGATTCGTGTGAGTTAGCAGCACTCATCGCAAACCTCCGTCTACGGTCCTAATGACACAATATACTATTACAGAGTGAAGAAAGAATTCTGATGGCTAACCGCTAATGACAAATATGTAAGAGAACTAAAATTCGGGAACAAATCTACAATGATAACACCAACAATAATGATAATAGAAACGGAGCGAGAAATCACCGAAATAGACATAACTTCAGACCTCCTTAACTTAATATAGTTCTTATAATACTGGAAAATGAACTAAAAAAATGTTTATGCCACTCATGCCTGAAACCGGCTGGATTACACACTCGACGCTTCGCGTCTCGTGTCTAATTCAGCCGGTTTCAGGCTTCGTGACATAAAATTTTGTTCAGTACTTGTTGGGAAATTTCGTCCTTAACGTGTGTGGTTACATCACTCGCCTTCGGCTCATGCTGTAAACCCCACACACGTCAAAGACGATATTGCCCCCCACGTGCTGAAATATACTATTTTTTTAAATTCATCTCAGTTTTCACATTACATACATAACTAACGTTATATAAAATAAAATTCTTTTGACACTATCCCTTTCTAAGATATGTAAAAAGAAATAAAAACACGATACCCTGTTGTGATTATTAATATCATCGTAAGTAATTGATAATTACTTTCTTTTACCCTCACCAATGCGCAAATAAGGGGGTGCCCTTTTTTAACAATACAAAGCAATTCCTTCTAAAAAAATTTTTTTGGGCACATTAAATAAAAACAAAATTATATAATGTTCGTATCCGACGATACGTCCAATTAATAAACATTAATAGATATTGTTTGGTAACATAAAACTTATAGAATTAACTATTATGATATTTTCTAAACTTGAGAGCCGCTAATTGGCCATTAGTTTATATACAAAATGTATTATTATACACCAAATTGTTTTAGACTAGTTTTTATAAATGTATAAGGCACATTCTCCCAATTATCATCCAGGGTTTCGGCTTTGATTTTGGGATTGACCTTCAATTTTCACAATTTGTTATGTGTGTCAAAAGAAACTCAACCCTAAATTTACACTCCGATATCTTGATTGATAACCGAGAAAACGCATGTTGAAATTTTTCTCTCCTTTTTTTTCAATCAATTTTCACGGCAACAGTTTTCATTCTATGAATAAATGTCGTAACTAAGTTTTCTTCAGAAATTGTCTGAAGTTTCAGAAAAAAAAATTTCCGTTCTCGTCCCAGTCTTTTTTGGCCATGAAAAATCAAATTTTTAACAAAATTCAGTGGTTTTTTGGTTGTCCACCCTCTCGAAAAAAATTTTTTTTTCTTCTTCGGAAAGTGTATACTTTTTGGAGTATCTCCACTTATTTTCAAATTGAGACTCTCAATAGAAGCTGAATAAACGTATGAAAACGAAAAAAAAAAAGAATTTTTAGGACAATCATAAGAATATCTGATATTTCGGGGTTTTTTAGTCGTCCACCCACTGAATGGAGATTTCTTGTTTTTCGTCGAAGAACATGTATTTTTTTGAGTATCTCCACAAATTTTCAACTCGGGACACAGAAAACCAGGCGAATAAACACATAAAAATGAAGAACGAAGTAAATTTTCAATTATAATAATATTGAACATTTCGCGGTTTTCTGACTTTTTGCCGCCTTGATTAAAATTTTGTGCTTTTTGTCGGAAAGTATATACTTTTTCAAGTATCTCTACAAATTTCCAGCCTGCGACGCTCAATATCAGCTGAGTAAACGCATGAAAACGAAAAAAAAAAAGAATTTTAGTGATATCGTTATGACTATAGTTGAAATATTGAGTGTTTTCGGTCCTTTACCCATTGAATCGACAAGTTTCTGTCTTTTGTTGAGAATATATTTTTTTTCAAGTAACATTTCCAAACAGAACACCTAGAAACCCAAACTTTCGGACATTCTCATAATTATGTCCTCAAAACTCATTTTCCCTTGCCATTCCCAAGCGCTCACTGATCTGATTTTGAGCGTTCCGAGCTGGAAATTTGTGGAGATACTCTGAAACAGATATACTCTCCGACGGAAAACAAAACATTCATATCAAGTGGGTAGCAAAACGGATAAACCGCGAATTGGGAGATATTCTAATCGAAAAATCATTTTTTTCCCATTTTCATGTGTTTACTCAGCTGATTTTGAGCGTCTCGGACTGAAAATTTGTGAAGATATTTGAAAAAATATGTACTTTTCGACAAAAAGCATAATATTTCAATCAGTTTGGTGGAAAGCTAAAAAACGCGAAATTTCAAATATTATTATAATTAAATATTCATTTTCTTCTTCGTTTTTATGTATTGATTCGGCTGGTTTTCAGCGCCCCGAGCTGAAAATTTTCGGAGATACTCGAAAAAATATATACTCTTCGACGAAAAACAAGAAGCCTCTATTTAGTAGGTGGAACACCGGAAAACTGCGAAATATCAAACATTCGCACGATTATCCTAAAAATTATTAACTTCCCGACCCGAAGGGAGGAAGTTATTGTAATGACCTCGAAAATCGAATGTGGAAATTTAAGCATTTCTCCACGTTTCATGACCTTTGGAACCACTTCTAACCCTTTTCATTTTTTTTCGTTTTCATACGTTTATTCAGCTTCTATCAAGAATCCCAATTTGAAAATTTGTGGAGATACTCCAAAAAGTATACACTTTCCGAAGAAAAAAAAATTTCTTTTCAAGATGGTGGATGACCAAAAAACCACTGAATCTTGTCAAAAAATCGATTTTTTGTGGCCGAAAAAGACTAGAACGGGAACGGAAATTTTTTTCCTGAAACTTCAGACAATTTTCGAAGAAAAGTTACTTGTGACATTTATTCATGGAATGAAAACTGTTGCCGTGAAAATTGATTGAAAAAAAAAGAGAAAAATTTCAACATGCATTTGCTCGGTTATTAATTGAGATATCGGAGTGAAAATTTAGGGTTGAGTTTCTTTTGACATACATAACAAATTGTGAAAATTGAAAGTCAATCCCAAAACCAAAGCCGAAACATTGGACGATAATTGGGAGAATATGCCATATATGTAAATAATTCTGTTGACTGAATAAAAACATTGTTAATTAAAAAAAAAAGTAAGAGCACCCGACCCGACATTGGGAGGTTCCGGGTTCGATTCCCGGCTAGGAAGTTACTATTGTTTTTCTCACAAAATTAGAATTTAATTAATGCCTAATGATGGTAAACGGTGAAACCCTAGTGGAAAATCCAAAATCATAGCGTTACATACCTGATCAGAATCTGATATGATAACTTGATCAGTGTCTGATCAAGATTTGACTAAAATTTCCACTCGGGTTCTAACCTCTGCGAGAAGTTGAAAATTCTATCCGGGTTGGGGTTTGAACCCCGACTGCCTAGTCTTCAAGCCGAAATATACGATTTAACAACCGTGACTACTGGACGTGGGTCATTGGTTCATTTTTTATATTTGATATACTTTTGATATACTTTTTTTTTCTATTTGATATACTTTTTTTATACTTTTTTTTACAGATGACAGAATTGAATTACTGAGAACCGCCTGAATACGCTCTGAAAAATGAAGGAAGAATTCAAAATAAGTACGGAATTAGAACCCAGTGAGAGAACGGCACTGAGACAAAAATTGGAATCGATTGACGATATCTTGCCTCACGTCGGAGACTTCGGGAAATATCAGTGGTATTTACTCCTCGCGATATTTCCGTATAGTCTGTCCTATGCTAATCTCTACTTCTCGACATTCTTCTTCACTCTGGTACCCCAGGAGCACTGGTGCCGTGTCGCTGAACTGCAGGATCTCAACTTGACAATGGACGAACGGTAATAACGATACGTTAAGATTCTTAGTTCGACTGTACTTGAAGACTTGGTACAGTCGAAGGCCAAAGGTTAAGATTGTTTAGTTCGACTGTACTTGAAGACTCGATACAGTCGGAAGGTCACGTTGTCAAAATCACAACCTCAAATTGCGAGAAAACAATGCATTTAATTACTGTCTGAAGTCTAATTATCGTTTTTCTCATTGGACTTTTTGTAAGACGATAATTATATCTGCTGCTGATTAAACCATGGGCTACTCTACAATTTTAGTTCGCAAATTGAGGTTAGGGTCACTCTGAAGCATTGCTTCATCCTGGTCTCAATAAGGTTACGAATGCAGACATCCCTGATGGATCACTCGATAGGGGGTTCGAGTTGTTCACGCAAGTTGAGTGCTAGTCGATTACAGTTCGATTGATCCACCGTCGATCGACCAACAATCGAACGACTATCGACCGAGAGAACAAGTCGATCTCGTGTTGAGCTACCGTCGATGAGTGGCCATCGATCGATCTGTCAGGGATACACTTCAACTTTAATACTGTAGCTTCAATTAGATACTGGTTTCATAATTGGGCCTTCATTAAAAATAATCGGATTCGAGTCGTATTGAGTACACACTACGCTTGGTAACAGAAGGGCCCCATCCGTGAAGGGTTAAACAGATTCTGTGAGTCGATTCACTTCGATTTCGATCGAGTATCAACTGTCAACCAATAACTGTTTAGCGGTCGAAATACATGAGATATATTTTTGCGAAAAATATCACCCCAAACCGAGATTGAACCCTGAGCAAGAACAACTGACACTGATCAATAGATAATGAATTCAATTCTTTCTTCACTGATTTCGTTTCTTCATTCTATTCAGCGTGAGAGCATCAATTCCATCATCAGATAAATACCCTTACTACGACAAATGCAATCGCAAGGATTTGAACTTTAGTGATCTTCTGAAAGTAAAAAAATTCAATATCGAAGCGTGGCAGACAAATAAAACAGTACCCTGCGATCACTGGGAGTACAACAAGTCTGTGGTACCTTACGACAGTATTAGCAGCGAGGTGCGTTCGTTTTGAATTCATCAATTCAAAATTTCAAAACCATAATATTAATCCTAAGAGAATCGAATTGACTGTTTCGTGACCCTTGTCGATCAGCTAGATTGGGTATGCGACAAGGAGTACATGATATCTACCACCCAGGCGATCTTTTTCCTCGGATCGATACTAGGCGGTTTTTTGTTTGGATGGCTCGCCGATCATCGAGGTCGAGTACCAGCTCTTGTTCTGTGCAATATCATCAGCCTTATAGGGACCATCGCCACAGCTTGGGCTGACAGTTTCGCCACATTTGCTCTCTGCCGATTCATCACAGGATTCGCTTACGATAATTGCATCAACATTCCACTAATTTTAAGTAAGTCTTTTCAAAACTCATTTTTAAGGTACAGAACATAATATTTTTTTGTACAGGGGTGAGTAAAATTACTTTTTATGATCTAGGTAATCACATGTGAAGTTAGGGCCAGAAAAGAGTCCATAAAATGATTCTTTTTGTGATGATTTTAACATTCGTTTTTCGATTATTATGTGGAACTTTCCTGACTAGAGTGATTGTCTTTAGATTCGTCTCTTGTTAAAAAATAGTATGTTCCGTCATTAGGCTGGAAAAAAATTTTCTAGCTGATATGATTGCAACCCTCGTATATCGAATGGTATTTTTCGCCATAACGGGCGTAGGCAACAATTTAAGAACGCGGTCGGAATGACGAAAATTCGTTTATGTCGCGCCGTGCAATAAGTCGAGTTTATCGCACGCTGCGCTTCGCGCAGCCTGCACAAAACTCAACTTCTAACTTGACATAAAATATTATAGAGCACTCGGTAATAAATTTTGTTTTCAACGAATGTGTGTACAGACCTCGCCTTCGGCTCAGCCTGTAAACTACACATTCGTTGAAAACGAAATTTCTGCCCTTGTACTCTAATGTACTATTTTGTCACTCTGGTTGTAAGGCAGCGTTTTAGGCACGTGTGCCGCAGGCACACCTGTTTAAAACACTGCCTACGACTCTCGTGACAATAGTATATTATGTCATCAGGCGATAAAAGTATTATAAACCCACATTCGCCAGATAATGCTTTTATTGCCGTGTGACAGACGATATTTTATGTCGTTGGGCCTGAAAACCGCGATCTAACCGAGTGAAGCGAGGTTAGAATCGCGTTTTATCGAGCCTAATGACATAAAAAATATTGTTCGACACACGGGCACAGAAAAATTTTCTGACTCATGTGATTTGCAGCAGGAGCCGAAGGCGCGACTCATATTCGCCAGAAAATTTTTCCTGCGCCCTAGTAGCGAAATGTACGATTGGATCGAGAACGCCCTACGCGATGCTAGGCCGAAGACGGGTCGGTCGAGCTTGGACCAGGAACGGCCGCCAATGAACGTCTGTCGATTCTGGCTACTCATTGGCTACCAAGCTTGGGCAAAGGTTGGTCGTCCCTCGTTGACCAAGCATTGGCGGACAGTCTTCGTCCATCTTTGGCCCGACCCTGACAAAATTATGGTCCAAGCTTGTTTACCAACACTCGGCAAGTCGAGGTTGAGCCAAGCTTGGGACGGTTGTCGAAACTCGGCGATTCCTGCCTGGGTGGCCCAGACAACCATCTTTCGAGTATTTATTTCTTCGAGAGGCTCGCACGTCTCGGCCATTGTCTTATATCGGCATGGTGTTATGATAAGCCCATATGAATGAACCCCTAGCTTACTTTTTATTGCAAATATACGTGTCTTTTAATGCATGTGCATTCTGATTCTTATTTATATTTCTTAATTTTAGGTTTTGATTCTGAAATATGTGTCACCTACGGTACTCCACTTTTTGAAGCACAACAAAGTCGTCAGAATGAGTTTAGAAAATCGTTTTTTTATTTGATTTTTTTTCGTCATCTCAATCATTTGAATGAGGATTACAAAAATTCCCCAGTAAATTTTTGGGGATTATTTCTTGAAATCAGAACAAAATTCAAAACGAGTTGCATTTTTAAAATTTTGAGAGCACACCTAAATGTTTATGAAATTTCAATTGAATATTCATTGCAGTCGTTGAGTACATGGGAGTCCATCGTCGCACTCTAGTATTCAACATAGCCTTTGGTATCCACTTTGCACTCGGCAGTACACTTTTGCCGTGGTTCGCTTACTACATCGCCAATTGGAGACACTTGGCGTACGTCGTTGCTATTCCCATGGCAATCGGTCTACTCACACCCTGGATTTTACCCGAAAGTGCACGGTAAGTTGATATTTGCAATTCTTTCCACTCACCGCACAGTAGGTAAAAGTAAATATTGGTGTACTGTATTTATTTACTCGCGTTTCCAAACCCAATTCCCTGTTCGAATCAAATAGAAATGGTTCAGTTTCGCTTGGGAAAATATTGGGAAACAGAATTTCGAATTTTCCTTTCACGTTTATAGGCTTAAAACATTGTGGAAGAGTAACTAGGCTAAATTTTTTTTTCGCTTTATGTGAGATCATCGCAATGTAATGAATACTATTTTTTATTGTCATTTTTTGTAGATGGTATGCATCTCATGGTAAATGGGACAAAGTGGTGGAAAACCTCAAGAAAATAGCGAAAGCAAATGGGAAAACTCCAGATCCTCGAATCTACGAGACTTACGTGGTAAGGTAGAATCACGTAGTAACACGTTTGAAAAAATGCAATAGCAAACCTAACGAATTGGTTAGAAAATTCTATTGAAATTCTATAGGAAAGCTCCATGTCTATTATACACGTTATCTATACACGTTAATTCAACGGGGAGCTCCAGTATCGGAGCGACCTAGCCCTGATGATGCAGGCTGAAATGTTTGCGAAACGTCGGCAAGAAACTGAATCTAGACGCGACATCCTTCCGGAAGCCATGATAAATAAAACAACAAATTCAACACATTCACACGCAACACAAGCAAACTCATCCGTACACTATTTTAACACATCTAATTATCAACAATTCAAACATCAACACAACCACGTATTCTGTCCATGTAAATAAAAACTAACACATCAGGAAAATCTATATATTGAAACCAAAATAAATATTTCAAAGAAATTCGAGCCAATCGTACAGCTATTAGAGTATAATACGTACGGCAAAAACCATAAACGTGATCCCAGGCATCACCATGTCGCTACATTTCGTATTGAGTCAAAGCGGAAAAAGACAGTTAACAAGTCGAATAAAGATTATACCGACCGCGAATTATACAAATAAATTCATTTAAATTGATGCAAATAATCGAATGTAAAACTCGATGTCATACACAAATGTGTTCAAATAAAGTATGCTGAAATGAAAAAATGTCAAAATAATAAATTGATAGAATAACAAAACGCGAAAAGAATAATGATAAATTGACGTGTTGTGTTGAAATGACGCTGTGATAAACAGACGTGTCACCAAGAAAAGGTCAATAGATTTCGAATTTCTGTTTGAATTTTTCTCTTGAGATTTTTTCTATAAGAATGCTTGGGCATCAATTTTTCTAAGTTTTTCCCACTCGGATTCTGTAATGCAAAACAAAATAAAATGCTGCGGAAAAAACTTGGAAAATTTCTGCCCAATAATTCTACTAGAAAAAATCTCAAGAGAAAAATTCTAACAGAAATTCAAAACATATTGACTTTTTCCTATGAAATATGCAATAGAATCAGCGCAAAAAACAAGTAGAATTTTTCAATAAAATTCCAGTAGAAATACTAGAGAAATCCCACAGCATTCCTATAGAATTTCAATAGAATTTTCTAGCGAATTCGTTACGTTTTGAATTAAATCTTTTCATGCGTGAAGCGATTCTCGAATCAAGTGTGAAAGACTTTTATTTCGTATTTTTCCATTGAATGGACAGGTGATATGTCCCCTCAATTGGCATGTTTTGAGATTCATAAGTTATTTTTGTTTCGAAAATCATTGTCTAGTCCTGACTTTCTGAGTTTTTCAAATCATAATTTTCAGCGAAATGCAAGTAATGCGAGTAAACGAAGTGAATCAGCAACAATGCTTGACCTCTTCAAGACTCCACGTCTCGCCAGGATGACAATACTGATAACTGCCTTTTGGTAAGTTGAGACTTTTAGGAATGAGGATAAATTCAACATGGTTCAGTTCCATGCTGATATTATTTCTGTTTCGTATCACTTTTTCTTTAAGGTCATACGAAAGCCTGATGTTTCATTCTTCATGATTCATTTAAAAGAGGCGATGATTATGTTTTTTCTTTTCTTTTCATTAATTTTCACCTAATCAAAGTTCAAGGACCAAAATTCAGAACAACCTCATAAAAATTGCTGGCAATCATCTTAAATATTCAACCTTTAATTGAATTGAAAGCATTTGATTATATCCTGGCATATCAACACGGACGAAAAAATTTAATAGAAAAGCCTATGGAATTCGTTAGAAAATTCTATTGAATTTCTATTGAACTGTTCTATTAGTTTTTGGCCGATTCTATTGAAATGTCCAATAGAAAACATTCAGTAGAAAAAGTCAATAGAATTCAATTTTTCTATATAACTTATTCTATTGAGACATTTTCTATAGAATTTCCTCGGCTCAAATTTTCCAAGTTTTTTCGTTTGATTTTCATGATGAGAAGAAAAGAAAAATACAATGAAAAAAACTTGAAAAATTTGAGTCGAGCAAATTCTATAGAAAATATATGAAAAGGATAAGTTATATAGAAAAACCGAATTCTGTTGATTTTTTCTATTGAATATTTTCTATTGAACATGTCAATAGAATCGGCCAAAAACTAATAGAAAGCTTAATAGAAATACAATAGAATTTTCTAACGAATTCGATAGGTTCTTCTATTAAATTTTTTCGTGCGTGAAATTCCCTAAGGGCACACTTGTTTTTTTTTTTTTTTACGGCCTTGGAGTCCCCCCTTTTTCGGGTCCCGTTCGGCACTCTATCCAACCCTATGCATGCGGCTGTGGATTCTACACTGTACCGCATTCGCACTTCTATAGAACANTTTTTCGTTTTCATACGTTTATTCAGCTTCTATCAAGAATCCCAATTTGAAAATTTGTGGAGATACTCCAAAAAGTATACACTTTCCGAAGAAAAAAAAATTTCTTTTCAAGATGGTGGATGACCAAAAAACCACTGAATCTTGTCAAAAAATCGATTTTTTGTGGCCGAAAAAGACTAGAACGGGAACGGAAATTTTTTTCCTGAAACTTCAGACAATTTTCGAAGAAAAGTTACTTGTGACATTTATTCATGGAATGAAAACTGTTGCCGTGAAAATTGATTGAAAAAAAAAGAGAAAAATTTCAACATGCATTTGCTCGGTTATTAATTGAGATATCGGAGTGAAAATTTAGGGTTGAGTTTCTTTTGACATACATAACAAATTGTGAAAATTGAAAGTCAATCCCAAAACCAAAGCCGAAACATTGGACGATAATTGGGAGAATATGCCATATATGTAAATAATTCTGTTGACTGAATAAAAACATTGTTAATTAAAAAAAAAAGTAAGAGCACCCGACCCGACATTGGGAGGTTCCGGGTTCGATTCCCGGCTAGGAAGTTACTATTGTTTTTCTCACAAAATTAGAATTTAATTAATGCCTAATGATGGTAAACGGTGAAACCCTAGTGGAAAATCCAAAATCATAGCGTTACATACCTGATCAGAATCTGATATGATAACTTGATCAGTGTCTGATCAAGATTTGACTAAAATTTCCACTCGGGTTCTAACCTCTGCGAGAAGTTGAAAATTCTATCCGGGTTGGGGTTTGAACCCCGACTGCCTAGTCTTCAAGCCGAAATATACGATTTAACAACCGTGACTACTGGACGTGGGTCATTGGTTCATTTTTTATATTTGATATACTTTTGATATACTTTTTTTTTCTATTTGATATACTTTTTTTATACTTTTTTTTACAGATGACAGAATTGAATTACTGAGAACCGCCTGAATACGCTCTGAAAAATGAAGGAAGAATTCAAAATAAGTACGGAATTAGAACCCAGTGAGAGAACGGCACTGAGACAAAAATTGGAATCGATTGACGATATCTTGCCTCACGTCGGAGACTTCGGGAAATATCAGTGGTATTTACTCCTCGCGATATTTCCGTATAGTCTGTCCTATGCTAATCTCTACTTCTCGACATTCTTCTTCACTCTGGTACCCCAGGAGCACTGGTGCCGTGTCGCTGAACTGCAGGATCTCAACTTGACAATGGACGAACGGTAATAACGATACGTTAAGATTCTTAGTTCGACTGTACTTGAAGACTTGGTACAGTCGAAGGCCAAAGGTTAAGATTGTTTAGTTCGACTGTACTTGAAGACTCGATACAGTCGGAAGGTCACGTTGTCAAAATCACAACCTCAAATTGCGAGAAAACAATGCATTTAATTACTGTCTGAAGTCTAATTATCGTTTTTCTCATTGGACTTTTTGTAAGACGATAATTATATCTGCTGCTGATTAAACCATGGGCTACTCTACAATTTTAGTTCGCAAATTGAGGTTAGGGTCACTCTGAAGCATTGCTTCATCCTGGTCTCAATAAGGTTACGAATGCAGACATCCCTGATGGATCACTCGATAGGGGGTTCGAGTTGTTCACGCAAGTTGAGTGCTAGTCGATTACAGTTCGATTGATCCACCGTCGATCGACCAACAATCGAACGACTATCGACCGAGAGAACAAGTCGATCTCGTGTTGAGCTACCGTCGATGAGTGGCCATCGATCGATCTGTCAGGGATACACTTCAACTTTAATACTGTAGCTTCAATTAGATACTGGTTTCATAATTGGGCCTTCATTAAAAATAATCGGATTCGAGTCGTATTGAGTACACACTACGCTTGGTAACAGAAGGGCCCCATCCGTGAAGGGTTAAACAGATTCTGTGAGTCGATTCACTTCGATTTCGATCGAGTATCAACTGTCAACCAATAACTGTTTAGCGGTCGAAATACATGAGATATATTTTTGCGAAAAATATCACCCCAAACCGAGATTGAACCCTGAGCAAGAACAACTGACACTGATCAATAGATAATGAATTCAATTCTTTCTTCACTGATTTCGTTTCTTCATTCTATTCAGCGTGAGAGCATCAATTCCATCATCAGATAAATACCCTTACTACGACAAATGCAATCGCAAGGATTTGAACTTTAGTGATCTTCTGAAAGTAAAAAAATTCAATATCGAAGCGTGGCAGACAAATAAAACAGTACCCTGCGATCACTGGGAGTACAACAAGTCTGTGGTACCTTACGACAGTATTAGCAGCGAGGTGCGTTCGTTTTGAATTCATCAATTCAAAATTTCAAAACCATAATATTAATCCTAAGAGAATCGAATTGACTGTTTCGTGACCCTTGTCGATCAGCTAGATTGGGTATGCGACAAGGAGTACATGATATCTACCACCCAGGCGATCTTTTTCCTCGGATCGATACTAGGCGGTTTTTTGTTTGGATGGCTCGCCGATCATCGAGGTCGAGTACCAGCTCTTGTTCTGTGCAATATCATCAGCCTTATAGGGACCATCGCCACAGCTTGGGCTGACAGTTTCGCCACATTTGCTCTCTGCCGATTCATCACAGGATTCGCTTACGATAATTGCATCAACATTCCACTAATTTTAAGTAAGTCTTTTCAAAACTCATTTTTAAGGTACAGAACATAATATTTTTTTGTACAGGGGTGAGTAAAATTACTTTTTATGATCTAGGTAATCACATGTGAAGTTAGGGCCAGAAAAGAGTCCATAAAATGATTCTTTTTGTGATGATTTTAACATTCGTTTTTCGATTATTATGTGGAACTTTCCTGACTAGAGTGATTGTCTTTAGATTCGTCTCTTGTTAAAAAATAGTATGTTCCGTCATTAGGCTGGAAAAAAATTTTCTAGCTGATATGATTGCAACCCTCGTATATCGAATGGTATTTTTCGCCATAACGGGCGTAGGCAACAATTTAAGAACGCGGTCGGAATGACGAAAATTCGTTTATGTCGCGCCGTGCAATAAGTCGAGTTTATCGCACGCTGCGCTTCGCGCAGCCTGCACAAAACTCAACTTCTAACTTGACATAAAATATTATAGAGCACTCGGTAATAAATTTTGTTTTCAACGAATGTGTGTACAGACCTCGCCTTCGGCTCAGCCTGTAAACTACACATTCGTTGAAAACGAAATTTCTGCCCTTGTACTCTAATGTACTATTTTGTCACTCTGGTTGTAAGGCAGCGTTTTAGGCACGTGTGCCGCAGGCACACCTGTTTAAAACACTGCCTACGACTCTCGTGACAATAGTATATTATGTCATCAGGCGATAAAAGTATTATAAACCCACATTCGCCAGATAATGCTTTTATTGCCGTGTGACAGACGATATTTTATGTCGTTGGGCCTGAAAACCGCGATCTAACCGAGTGAAGCGAGGTTAGAATCGCGTTTTATCGAGCCTAATGACATAAAAAATATTGTTCGACACACGGGCACAGAAAAATTTTCTGACTCATGTGATTTGCAGCAGGAGCCGAAGGCGCGACTCATATTCGCCAGAAAATTTTTCCTGCGCCCTAGTAGCGAAATGTACGATTGGATCGAGAACGCCCTACGCGATGCTAGGCCGAAGACGGGTCGGTCGAGCTTGGACCAGGAACGGCCGCCAATGAACGTCTGTCGATTCTGGCTACTCATTGGCTACCAAGCTTGGGCAAAGGTTGGTCGTCCCTCGTTGACCAAGCATTGGCGGACAGTCTTCGTCCATCTTTGGCCCGACCCTGACAAAATTATGGTCCAAGCTTGTTTACCAACACTCGGCAAGTCGAGGTTGAGCCAAGCTTGGGACGGTTGTCGAAACTCGGCGATTCCTGCCTGGGTGGCCCAGACAACCATCTTTCGAGTATTTATTTCTTCGAGAGGCTCGCACGTCTCGGCCATTGTCTTATATCGGCATGGTGTTATGATAAGCCCATATGAATGAACCCCTAGCTTACTTTTTATTGCAAATATACGTGTCTTTTAATGCATGTGCATTCTGATTCTTATTTATATTTCTTAATTTTAGGTTTTGATTCTGAAATATGTGTCACCTACGGTACTCCACTTTTTGAAGCACAACAAAGTCGTCAGAATGAGTTTAGAAAATCGTTTTTTTATTTGATTTTTTTTCGTCATCTCAATCATTTGAATGAGGATTACAAAAATTCCCCAGTAAATTTTTGGGGATTATTTCTTGAAATCAGAACAAAATTCAAAACGAGTTGCATTTTTAAAATTTTGAGAGCACACCTAAATGTTTATGAAATTTCAATTGAATATTCATTGCAGTCGTTGAGTACATGGGAGTCCATCGTCGCACTCTAGTATTCAACATAGCCTTTGGTATCCACTTTGCACTCGGCAGTACACTTTTGCCGTGGTTCGCTTACTACATCGCCAATTGGAGACACTTGGCGTACGTCGTTGCTATTCCCATGGCAATCGGTCTACTCACACCCTGGATTTTACCCGAAAGTGCACGGTAAGTTGATATTTGCAATTCTTTCCACTCACCGCACAGTAGGTAAAAGTAAATATTGGTGTACTGTATTTATTTACTCGCGTTTCCAAACCCAATTCCCTGTTCGAATCAAATAGAAATGGTTCAGTTTCGCTTGGGAAAATATTGGGAAACAGAATTTCGAATTTTCCTTTCACGTTTATAGGCTTAAAACATTGTGGAAGAGTAACTAGGCTAAATTTTTTTTTCGCTTTATGTGAGATCATCGCAATGTAATGAATACTATTTTTTATTGTCATTTTTTGTAGATGGTATGCATCTCATGGTAAATGGGACAAAGTGGTGGAAAACCTCAAGAAAATAGCGAAAGCAAATGGGAAAACTCCAGATCCTCGAATCTACGAGACTTACGTGGTAAGGTAGAATCACGTAGTAACACGTTTGAAAAAATGCAATAGCAAACCTAACGAATTGGTTAGAAAATTCTATTGAAATTCTATAGGAAAGCTCCATGTCTATTATACACGTTATCTATACACGTTAATTCAACGGGGAGCTCCAGTATCGGAGCGACCTAGCCCTGATGATGCAGGCTGAAATGTTTGCGAAACGTCGGCAAGAAACTGAATCTAGACGCGACATCCTTCCGGAAGCCATGATAAATAAAACAACAAATTCAACACATTCACACGCAACACAAGCAAACTCATCCGTACACTATTTTAACACATCTAATTATCAACAATTCAAACATCAACACAACCACGTATTCTGTCCATGTAAATAAAAACTAACACATCAGGAAAATCTATATATTGAAACCAAAATAAATATTTCAAAGAAATTCGAGCCAATCGTACAGCTATTAGAGTATAATACGTACGGCAAAAACCATAAACGTGATCCCAGGCATCACCATGTCGCTACATTTCGTATTGAGTCAAAGCGGAAAAAGACAGTTAACAAGTCGAATAAAGATTATACCGACCGCGAATTATACAAATAAATTCATTTAAATTGATGCAAATAATCGAATGTAAAACTCGATGTCATACACAAATGTGTTCAAATAAAGTATGCTGAAATGAAAAAATGTCAAAATAATAAATTGATAGAATAACAAAACGCGAAAAGAATAATGATAAATTGACGTGTTGTGTTGAAATGACGCTGTGATAAACAGACGTGTCACCAAGAAAAGGTCAATAGATTTCGAATTTCTGTTTGAATTTTTCTCTTGAGATTTTTTCTATAAGAATGCTTGGGCATCAATTTTTCTAAGTTTTTCCCACTCGGATTCTGTAATGCAAAACAAAATAAAATGCTGCGGAAAAAACTTGGAAAATTTCTGCCCAATAATTCTACTAGAAAAAATCTCAAGAGAAAAATTCTAACAGAAATTCAAAACATATTGACTTTTTCCTATGAAATATGCAATAGAATCAGCGCAAAAAACAAGTAGAATTTTTCAATAAAATTCCAGTAGAAATACTAGAGAAATCCCACAGCATTCCTATAGAATTTCAATAGAATTTTCTAGCGAATTCGTTACGTTTTGAATTAAATCTTTTCATGCGTGAAGCGATTCTCGAATCAAGTGTGAAAGACTTTTATTTCGTATTTTTCCATTGAATGGACAGGTGATATGTCCCCTCAATTGGCATGTTTTGAGATTCATAAGTTATTTTTGTTTCGAAAATCATTGTCTAGTCCTGACTTTCTGAGTTTTTCAAATCATAATTTTCAGCGAAATGCAAGTAATGCGAGTAAACGAAGTGAATCAGCAACAATGCTTGACCTCTTCAAGACTCCACGTCTCGCCAGGATGACAATACTGATAACTGCCTTTTGGTAAGTTGAGACTTTTAGGAATGAGGATAAATTCAACATGGTTCAGTTCCATGCTGATATTATTTCTGTTTCGTATCACTTTTTCTTTAAGGTCATACGAAAGCCTGATGTTTCATTCTTCATGATTCATTTAAAAGAGGCGATGATTATGTTTTTTCTTTTCTTTTCATTAATTTTCACCTAATCAAAGTTCAAGGACCAAAATTCAGAACAACCTCATAAAAATTGCTGGCAATCATCTTAAATATTCAACCTTTAATTGAATTGAAAGCATTTGATTATATCCTGGCATATCAACACGGACGAAAAAATTTAATAGAAAAGCCTATGGAATTCGTTAGAAAATTCTATTGAATTTCTATTGAACTGTTCTATTAGTTTTTGGCCGATTCTATTGAAATGTCCAATAGAAAACATTCAGTAGAAAAAGTCAATAGAATTCAATTTTTCTATATAACTTATTCTATTGAGACATTTTCTATAGAATTTCCTCGGCTCAAATTTTCCAAGTTTTTTCGTTTGATTTTCATGATGAGAAGAAAAGAAAAATACAATGAAAAAAACTTGAAAAATTTGAGTCGAGCAAATTCTATAGAAAATATATGAAAAGGATAAGTTATATAGAAAAACCGAATTCTGTTGATTTTTTCTATTGAATATTTTCTATTGAACATGTCAATAGAATCGGCCAAAAACTAATAGAAAGCTTAATAGAAATACAATAGAATTTTCTAACGAATTCGATAGGTTCTTCTATTAAATTTTTTCGTGCGTGAAATTCCCTAAGGGCACACTTGTTTTTTTTTTTTTTTTACGGCCTTGGAGTCCCCCCTTTTTCGGGTCCCGTTCGGCACTCTATCCAACCCTATGCATGCGGCTGTGGATTCTACACTGTACCGCATTCGCACTTCTATAGAACA